AAGATGCTTACTCACCGTGGCCACCTGGGGGGAGATGGGAAGGTGGCCACCATGTACAGCAGCAACGCCGGGCCAGCACATAGCTACTGTGGCTAACGTTAGCTAACGTTAGCTAACCAGCAGAGACCAGAGGATAGGCAGTGGGCACTATGTTCCCACATGTTCACACAGCGAGCCATTAAAATTTAGTCTATGGATTGAGCTTTTAAATGAGGTGCTATATCTCACTGAGTCAATGGAGTGCTGGACTGAAAGTAAAAGCCTCTTGTATTTCACCTCATTTTATTTATTTATTTATTTATTTATTTATTTTGCTGGTTAGTTTCCGCCGTAACCCCCCAAAATACCACCGAGCTGGTCCTACACAGGCCCCCAAGAACTGCACCGGACTTTGAAGCCAGTTTTCATAGTGGCCAAACAGTGGTACCGCAGCTTCCAGGCTTCGTCATCTGACTCCATGAGGCCCAAAAAGACTTTTACCCATAGACTTACACTGGGAAAGAGACATCTGTAAATCAGTGGATACATTTTTTTAGCATCACAGAAGAGAAGTTACTTGTTTCGCTTTCAGAATTTGGTCCTTTCTGTCCGATAACATTTGGAAAGTCAAGATGAGCTGCAAGATGAAATCATTTTATTCCCATTCAGGTTAACAGGGCGCTAAACTGGTAGTTAGACATTCGGTAGGGGGAAGTAAGACGCTCGTCCGCCTGCTCTATGGGCCGCACAACACAGACATAGTGCTGATAATCTCCAGATTAACCGGGTAATTAAACAAGCAGCAGTTGAACCAGTTTGGCTTCATCTGCCACTGAGCAACTTTCATAGGAATGAACGAGGCCCCGCCTCCAACACTCAGGACTCTTTACACATCCATGGTCTCTCACAGATGTCCGTAAGCTTCCTAGCATGGTGAAGAAATGACCCGCCTCTCTCTGCCTCTGATTGGCTTCCCCTGACATTCTTACCCCAACCCTAATCAGTCTCACTCTTCTAACCTCAACCCAACCAATCCAAGCAATGAAGGCAACGAAGGCAATGAAGGCAACAAGTACTAACCAATCAGAAGGAGAGTAGGGTGAGTCTTTCCTTCACTATCTTAGGAAACACAAATTTGCACCCAAAAGGTGTGAAGCTATAGAGGGACTGGAGTGTACGTCTGCCGTCCCCTGAGCTGACTCAACTCTCAGCGCGCTCACACCTGAGCCTCGTCCTCATCACGTCGGCAATGGATGCACGCTCACGTTGCCGCGGCGCCCTTTTATCGACACACAGCTTGACCACACCTCAGTATAGCTTTATCTCTGCCACCACCCAAATCACTCCAACTACAAGACTTTGGACAAAAACTGATTTTTACTTTAAAAAAGAATTTTATCATTTTTTTAAAGGTCAGAGTCTGCAGTGGGTAATGATAATTCTGACCCTAAAGCAGAGTCCAAAGCTCCCAGCAGCCCCCAGCAGCTCCCAGCAGCTCCCAGCAGCCCCCAGCAGCCCCCAGCAGCCCCCCCACAGCAGCTGAGAGGATGGTTAGAGGAAGTTTCTCATCTTTCCGACAGCGTCTGTAAAACACAGGGAGCTTTTCTCTCTCGTCTCCTCTTGGAGGGTTTTTTGTGAAACCCCCCTCTTCCTGCTCTGGGAGAGGCTGTGTCTAATTCCAGATGGGGCCCTGAGGCCGGATGCACCGCGGCCTCATGGGTATGCCCTTCCTCACGCCCTCACGCCCTCACGCCCTCGCGCCCTCTCTCTTCCCCCTTCTCCTACCCCGGCCCCTTTCCTCGGACACACCCTGACAGGTCCGAGCTGGGTGGTCCAACACGCCAAAGACACAGAGCAGACATGATACAGACTGTGTTTCTGTGATCGGCTGTATGTGAGGAACAGGCGTCCAACACGTACGGTTATAAACAGATAAGGCAGGAAGTTATGTAACACAGCTACAGACACTGCTCTGTGCTTTTGAAGACGCTCAGTGAGCGAAAATAGATGAAGGACAGAAAGGCGGAGAGTGAAGAGAGAAGATGGAGATGAACCCAGAGGCAATCGTACCTCATTATTCAAACTATCCGAGATGACTGATGATTAAACACTGACAAACTTGTTGATCATTTTTCTGTCAGTGAAATAATCAATTAAACAATAGTGCTACACTTTAGTGGCAGACACTGAGACACTGAGTGTTGCGTTACATTCATTCATTCATTCATTTCCTGTATCTGCTTATTCTGTTCAGGGTCAACGGGAGGTGGAGCCTATCCCAGCTGACATTGGGTGAGAGGCAGGGTTCACCCTGGACAGGTCACCAGACTATCACACAGAGACAGACAACCATTCACACTCACATTCACACCTATGGACAATTTAGAGTCACGAGTTAACCTGCATGTCTTGGACTGTGGGAGGAAGCTGGAGCACCTGGAGGAAACCCACGCTGACACGGGGAGAACATGCAGACTCTGCACAGGGGGGCTCCCACACCCTTGAGTTCAAACCAGGAGCCCTCTTCCTGTGAGCCGACGATGCTGCCCAGTAACTAAATGTTGTGTTGCAGTGTGTTTTAGTGACCAGTGAAGGTACTCTGTGGAGATTGTGACCACTAGTTGGTATCTAGTGATGAATCTTGAGGACGAATACGTGCACACAGGGTGATGTGACACACATTCCTGCTGACTGAGGAAGGTTGTGATGTAAATGTGTAGTGTGTGCAGGATATACGATACTCCTCAGTTTCAGGCTGTCCGACAGCTGCTGGTGGTGATGTGCCAAAAAATAATGTGCCGGCAAATAGAGGGAAGAAGAAGAAGAAGGATAAGAAGAAGAAGAAAAAAGAAAAAGAAGAAGACGGCTGTGATGTGGATGTAAATAATTCAGGTTTCAAACAAACTAAAATTGTGAAAGTTCACAACTACAGTTTCCATCAACATCTGTGAAAACATCTATACAATCAGCACAGTTTCAAGATTAGAGTCACCAATTCAGTATCTGACCAAATGTCTCCCCTTCTGTTCCTGAGATATGACGCTAAAACATGATGATGTCACAGTCAAGCTGACCTTTGACCTCTTGACCTTCATTATTTTATCCTGTTAGAACATTTGTGTGAAGTTTTGTCATTATTAGTGTATGAATTTGTCAGTTATGGCTAAAAAATGTTTTCTGAGCTCACAGTGACCTTTGACTTTTGACCACCAAAATTTAATCAGTTCATCACTTAATCCAAGTGAACGTTTGTGCCAAAGTGGAAAAAAAAATCCCTCAAGGTATTCTTGAGAATGCAATGAAGCAAGGTCACGGTGATCTTGACCTTTGACCATGGACCACTAAATTGTGATCAGTTCATCCTTAAATCCAAGTGGATGTTTGTGCCATTTTCAAAGAAATTGTCTCAAGACCTGTGATGTTGTATTGTCACAGTGACCTTAAACCTTAACCTTTAATCACCAAAGTGTAATCATTTTGCTGCTGAATCCACCTGGATGTTTGTGCCAAAGTTGAAGAAATTCCCTCACAGTGTTCTTGTGATATTGTGTTCAGGAGAATGAGATGAAGGAAGAGAAGTCTCCAGTGACGGCTGACGCCAGCACAGAGGCATAAAAATCTACTTTGCGGAAGGACGGAAATACTGTCAGGACGTTTGTGAAGCTGCAGCGTTACACAGAAACACTGAACATAAACAAAACTACATTTGTTTGTTTATTTACAGGAAAATCTCCACAAGGGGACAACTGTAAACCTGGAGGTGAATCAGCACACACACACACACACACACACACACACACTATCTTTCTCTCTGTCCTATTTTCCGCAGTGTGTGACCCATTTCAGCCTGCAGCTCAGAAACAGGGTCGACATCAACGACACAAGATGGTTGCAAAAACTGCAGACCTCAAAACACAGCCTCCATAAACAAACAGCCTCCACAAACAAATGGCCTCCATAAACAAACAACCTCCACAAACAATCAGCCTCTGCAAACAGCCTTCACAATCAGCCTCCACAAAGAGCCTCTACAGTCTCCACAAACAAACACCCTCTACAAACAAACAATCTCCACAAAAAGCCTCCATAAATGAACAGCCTCCACAAACAAATGGCCTCCATGAACAAACAGCCTCCACAAACAATCAGCCTCCACAAACAGCCTCCACAAATAAACTGTCTCCACAAACAGCCCCCACAAACAAACAGTCTCCACGAACAGCCTCCACAAACAAACAGCCTCTACAAACAATCTCCACAAACAGCCTCCATAAACAAACAGCCTCCACAAACAAATGGCCTCCATAAACAAACAACCTCCACAAACAATCAGCCTCTGCAAACAGCCTTCACAATCAGCCTCCACAAAGAGCCTCTACAGTCTCCACAAACAAACACCCTCTACAAACAAACAATCTCCACAAAGAGCCTCCATAAATGAACAGCCTCCACAAACAAATGGCCTCCATGAACAAACAGCCTCCACAAACAACCAGCCTCTACAAACAGCCTCCATAAACAAACAGCCTCCACAAACAAATAGCCGCCATAAACAAACAGCCTCCACAAACAACCAGCCTCTACAAACAGCCTCCATAAACAAACAGCCTCCACAAACAAATAGCCTCCATAAACAAACAGCTTCCACAAACAACCAGCCTCTACAAACAGCCTCCATAAACAAACAGCCTCCACAAACAATCTCCACAAACAGCCTTCATAAACAGCCTCCACAAACAGCTTCCACGAACAAACATGCTCCATAAACAAACAGCCTCCACCTGCTTGTCTGTCTGTGTCCCATCAGCAGCTATAACACTCTGCAGACCTTCTGTCCTCTAATAGAGGTCTAATGAGAGGCTGAGAGGAACGTTTAGGGTTCATTTACAGTAGCATTGACGTGCACAGAGAGTCAGAGTGTGTATCTCTGATTGAATGAGTGAGTGTGTGTGTGTGTGTGTGTGTGTGTGTGTGTGTGTGTGTGTGTGTATGTGTTGTTGAGCTCAGAGGAGGGGCCCCACCTTGAAGCCGGTTCTGTGTTTCTTGCAGCAGATGCAGGCCAGCATGAGGAAGACGACAGTAAAGAGGCCCGACAGGGAGACGGCCACCACAGCCAGAGACGACGACCAGGACAGCTCGCTCAGCGGGGCGCCATCTGCAGGACACAGAGGTAAAAGCATGTGTGAGCCGTGAGGTTACAACAGTAAAACATTTCCACTGACACATCAGGCTTCTGTGTATCACTGCATTGTGTCTGATGGATTGAACAGTAACTGATGATCAGACGCCTCCTCAGGAGAATATTTACACTCACATGACATCGTGTTTTGACTCAAATGAAACTTCACAGCTGTATGAGCTGATTCATCACCTGGTATAACAGAGACGTTCTCACATGATGAGGATTCAGAGGATGAAACATACAAACTGTATCACCTCAGAAACACACGTCTGCTGCAACAACCTGCTTCATACAAACAAACCACAGCCCCTGAGATCAGCTTCATGTGTGCAGGTGTAACAGAGTTTGTATTGTGTGTAATTCCACTTCCTTTCATTGCTTTAAAGTGACAGTCATGCACTTCTGTAGTTCTGTGGTTATACCTGTGTTATTGGCTCAAAGGCGCCCTCTCTCAGAGGTGGTAGGTAAATGCCACTGCAGGCATTAAAACATGGCCACTTCATGAGAGACGTACCCGAGGTGAGCTGTCGAGCACTGTGTACAAGTGTTGTGTGTTAAAGTCTGTATGTCCACCGTATGAAAATATATGCACTGTGAGTTATGGAAATGTAACTGGAGAGAGTTAGGAGTGGGTTGTTGAACAGTTTAAGTGCTAAAATGTTCAACTAACGGCATACTGCACTTTATGAAAATAAGATAACGTGCTGTTCTTTGGTAGTGTGCTGTGTGAGCTGCCTGTAGTGAGCCAACTGTATGACTGACCCGTACATATCCTGTTCCTGTTCAGAGAATAAATGGCAGTGTGTAAAAAGGACGACACATTATGAGCCTCATTACTGTCTCATTACAGTGAGGCCTAACTGAGGTCGGTTACACATATGTATACATACATATGTGTACATGTTGCACATATTTATGTTTTTTTCTTTTCAGTGTGGACCTTTTTTTATCTTTTTTCCTCTCTTTTCTTTTTCATTTTTAATGTAAGTAATTCAACAATGTCATTTCTTTTCTTTTTTTCACTTTTTTGCATTTATGACAAGTCAAGATAAGAGAAGACAAGACAAGACAAGACAGGACAGGTCAAGACAAGACAAGACAAGACAGGACAGGACAGGACAGGTGGAGACAAGACAAGACAAGGCAGGGCATGGCAGGGCAAGACTTGACAAGTCAAGACAAGACAGGACAAGTCAAGACAAGACAGGATAGGACAGGACAGGACAGAACAGGACAGGACAGGTAAAGACAAGGCAGGGCATGGCAAGACAAGACAAGACAAGACAGGACAGGACAGGTGAAGACAAGACAGGACAGGGCAAGAAAAAACAAGACAAGGCAGGGCATGGCAGGGCATGCCAGGACAGGACAGGACAGGACAAGTCAAGACAAGACAGGACAAGTCAAGACAGGACAAGACAGGACAGGATAGGACAGAACAGGACAGGTGAAGACAAGACAAGGCAGGACAAGTCAAGACAGGACAAGTCAAGACAAGACAAGACAGGACAGGATAGGACAGAACAGGACAGGAGAAGACAAGACAAGGCAGGACAAGTCAAGACAGGACAAGTCAAGACAAGACAAGACAGGACAGGATAGGACAGAACAGGACAGGTGAAGACAAGACAAGACAAGACAGGACAAGTCAAGTCAAGTCAAGACAAGACAAGACAAGACAAGACAAGACAAGACAAGACAAGACAAGACAAGACCGGTGAAGATAAGATAAGACAAGACAGGACAGGACAGGTGAAGACAACACAAGACAAGACAAGACAAGACAAGACAAGGCAGGGCATGGCAAGGCAAGACAGGACAAGTCAAGACAAGAAAAAACAAGACAAGACAAGACAAGACAAAACAAGACAAGACAGGACAGGACAGGATAGGATAGGACAGGTGAAGACAAGACAAGACAAGACAGGACAGGACCGGTGAAGACAAGACAAGACAGGACAGGACAAGACAAGACAAGACAAGACAAGACAAGACAAGACAGGACAAGACAGGACAGGACAGGTGAAGACAAGACAAGACAAGACAAGACAAGACAAGACAGGACAAGACAGGACAGGACTGGTGAAGACAAGACAAGACAAGACAAGACAAGACAAGACAGGACAGGACAGGACAGGACCGGTGAAGACAAGACAAGATAAGACAAGACAGGACAGGACAGGTGAAGACAAAACAAGACAAGACAAGGCACGGCATGGCAAGACAAGACAAGACAAGACAAGACAAGACAAGACAAGACAAGACAGGACCGGTGAAGACAAGACAAGATAAGACAAGACAGGACAGGACAGGTGAAGACAAGATAAGACAAGACAAGGCAGGGCATGGCAAGACAAGACAGGACAAGTCAAGACAAGAAAAAACAAGACAAGACAAGACAAGACAAGACAAAACAAGACAAGACAGGACAGGACAGGTTGGGACAGGTGAAGACAAGACAAGACAGGACAGGACAGGACAGGACCGGTGAAGACAAGACAAGACAGGACAGGACAGGATAGGACAGGTGAAGACAAGACAAGACAAGGCAGGGCATGGCATGGCAAGGCAAGACAGGACAAGTCAAGACAAGAAAAAACAAGAGAAGACAAGACAAGACAAGACAAGACAAGACAAGACAGGACAATCCTCTATTCATCCCCCAACAGGGAAATTTGCATCATTACAGCAGCAGAGAGACAGAGTGCAAACAGGAAGTAAAAAAACAAACACAAGAGGTGGAGTTCAGTGTGAGCAGGCGGTAATTACATACAACACAACTGATACAAAAACAAACAGCATCATTCTGTCATCACAAAAACACAATCAAACAAACAAACAAACAAACAAACAACAACAGACAAAAACTAAACAGTGTAGCTCACACCACATGGAGACAAACAGTCATACAACAGAAATCATATTGGCAGAACAATATTCAAAAACAAACTCAACCACAACAAGTCGTCAGGAATAAAGGATCCTTGAAGAGAATTTACAAAAGTCACTGTTTTAAATTAGGCTGAATGAACAAACCGAATGGACTATCTCAAAATGGAGGCGAGCTTCTGACCTTTTGATTGACACCTCATTGAGGAGCTTCCAATGTTGTTGCTATGGCATCGATAGCCAAGCAGAGCCTGAGCTGAAACTAAGGCCCTCTCTTACATTATAAGGCCCCATAGCCAATCAAAACCCAGTGATTGGCCCGATGGCTGATGGGTCTTGTAGTCAATGACTCTCCTCACCTCCACAGCAGTTTTTTAACCCCTTATTGTCATCATAGATAGTTAGTACAACCAACCTCAGGTCTGAGTACACAATTTTGTGTATAAGACTTCCCGTGCTGTAATCACAGGCTCACTCACTTCCTTTGCATGCAACACTTTTTTGTGAGTATAATAATTTCATGCATGTGCTTCAACATGGAAGCTACTTTAACTGCTTTACCTCCACACAGCTCTGTGACCCACAGCTGAGAGCTGAGTAATAAAATGCAGGCAACCCAAAGACACCCTGAAGGACACTCTGTCTCCACATGTGCTGAGGTATCTGATAAACTCCTCCCATATGTCCTGGATACATCATTTTATTTACCTGCACAACAACAAATCTGGTGATGTCCTTCACAGTGAGATGAAATTATAATAATGATACAACATTGAATCCTGATCTCCTGGTCTCTGTGTCTCATTCAGCTGCTTTGAGCTTCATTCTGTGTCACATTATCATGGTTTCAGTCATCCTCTACATGAGCTGTGTGCACGCTCTCCTCTCCCATCAATAATATCTTGTTCCCAGTTTTTGGGGCATTTTTCAGCAGTGGATGATTTATGTATTTTTTCTCTCTCGTTCTGCGATGGCTTCTGAAATGCAACGGTTACCAGGGAAACAGATTGGAGGGGCAGCCATGCAGGATTGTGTTCAGCTGTAAATCTCTGGCAGTGCTTCCTGCCAGCAGCAGTGCCACCCAGCTACGCCGCTGATCCTCTGAGAGCTGCTGCCACCGGCTCTCAGCGACTATCAGCCTCTTAGTGTAATTGGACAGAGTGTGAACAGCGTTGTTCATGGGGCCGGCTGGCAGTGTGCAGCGGGACAAGAGAATATTTCTAAAAAAAAAAAAACATGGAAATTTAACAGTTAAATGCAGGATTAGCTGGCCGGCTCAGGGCCCTCTGGAACAGGCTGAGTTCTGCTGAATATTTCACTGGACTGGGCTAAATAAAACCAGGAACAGCGTCTGTAAAAAGCAGCATGTGATGGAGCGGAGTGGGAGGACGGAGCTGAAACAGCCAGCTTGCTAAATCAGTCCATAACCCTTCAGTGCTTTGAAACACTGCACGAGAGGACCCAGGTTTAATTACTCTGTATTTGTCAGGAGGGTAATTACACAGAGTGGAGACACACTGCGGCTCTGTTGTGGTTTATTTACAAATCCCACCTCTCCCAGCAGCACCAGTGGGAAACAGAGACTGGGGACGCTGCTCAGGGTTAATACCTGAGGAGCTCAGAGCAGCAACGTCCAGCTGCTACAATTAGCATTGTGAGTGTGGCTGTCTCCCCAGAGCCTGACACCAGAAATGACCTCCACCACCCTCAGTGAAAAGATACAGGTACAGGTAACCTGAGTGTGATCCAGCAAACATTAAGCATTTCTGATTTATGTGATAATTCAGGTGATTGTTTTTTTTCACTAACGACAGAACAGCGATGAACGGGTTAAACAAACAGACATTCATTCAGGAGACCCACAGCTCGTTCTCACTCTGAAGTCATCAAATAACATGTTCTCATCCCAACTCGTCACATACAGTATCACCACTTTGTCGGTGGACTTTCACGTCTACATTTTGTGTGCTCGTTATCCTCCTGCATCTGCTGTTGATGTTTAGGAACGCCACAACCAACGCTGAGACGTCAACTGAAACTGACACCTGCTAGCAGCGTATCATAACATCACAAAAGGTGGCTCT